AAAGTACTGTCAAAGGAAGTTGTGATATCGATGATATGTACGAATAATCGAAAAACCGATTCGGAACATCAGCATGTGGTTTGATCTACTAATGAAGTATACATGACGTGACCTGGTACCAGCCAGTTACTGAAATTTCCTTAAATAATTACTATGACACAAATATTAAATGTGATTTTCTTGTGACTTAATTCAATTCATTACTTAATGTTCGCAAATTGATTAATTATACACTATCCTATATTTAGTATTTTCTCTTGTTTGCTTTTGTATTTTAAAACTTTAAGCAAAATAATTCGTTGTTATCGTTAGTGTTATGGCTACATATACAGTGAGAATGTCTCCCTTTTGCGTTGTTATTTTGTAGAGAAAACACCAGACGCAAAATATCAAATATTCATAAAGTAATAGAACTTGCCAGTTACGTGTAAACAAAGTGAAAATCGTATTTTAATTAAAAAGGAAGTTTTCTATATAAAGTTTTCGATTGTCACAATTGTGTTGCTCACGATATTGTACTGTTTTTATTCCAGTAATGGCAAAGACTGTTGTGAGGAAAGCAGGACTCCGGACAACGAGCTTTTCAAACATCTAGCCGGTTCGTTTGCGTCCAGGCATGAAGATATGAAGAGGGGAGACGCCTGTAAGCCGGAGACGTTAACGTTCGTTTAATAATAAAATTTTACAACGTTTATATGAAGCTAAATTGAGATGTCTAAATCTTTCTCCACGATGTTGAAAAACCATTGGCATTATAAGCTCTTTAGCCCCTCATATATTATGGACAATTAGAGTGTTTACAGACGAAGTGACGTAAACGTTGAAATAGAAAAAACATAAATACTTGTAAAACGACTGAAGTACGGCCCGTTGAAACGTCTGCAGGCTAATAGGATTTTATTGAACACTCGTAACTTTACGTACAACGTATGTAACAAATATTGTAAAGTTTGGACTGACATTCATTAATTTGTAGACAGTGTACATTGAATATTATTTTACTCTTATCTTTCTGGTATTGAACCAGAAGTTTTCAAGATTGTCTATTTTGATTCTTTTTATAAATGTGGAATGGATTAAATGTGTTCATTTTTGATGATGTACTATCGATAGTTGTTTTGTTCTCATAGAAAATATGTAATGCCAAAGTGCCAACGTTTGCGTACAGGCATCTGTCTATTACAGACATTATATTATTACTAAAATAATAAGTAAAAGGCGACCTCATTGTCTACAATAGATTTCTTGAAGAGGCTTGAGAACATAGATTGCTTGGCAAAGTTGTAAGTGATGGAATAATTTTTTAAAACACATTTACTATGTTATACATATTTATTGATCTATATAATTTAAATAAAAAATATCTTAACTGATTTGAAATATTAACTTTTATATGAAAATTTAAATTAGACCATCAATTTTTATATAAATAGAAATTTTTATGTAAGTATAAATTATCTTATAAATTTGTTTATAAACTGCTAAACATGGTTAAAGGAACACCCCTAAATGCTTAGGGGTGTTCTTTTAACCATGTTTAGATATTTATAAAAGTTCACTAACCTCTTTTAGGGTGATCACTCATTTTTTGGGGATCACAGCAAACGGTGGCTGAAAACGCGACTCGTGAAGTGTAGTGCTTCCACTTATTGATATTGTGAATGTTGTTACTATTATATAATACTATAAAAAGATTCTTATTATTATATTTCTACTGCGTAATAGGTATCTTTGTATGAGCACAGTCATGTTCAAATTACAAACAATTTAAAAGAAACTTTATAAGATGGCAACAGTCTGTTTTGTTGATTCAATACTGAGATATACGAGTATAAAAGAAATATAATGAATATATAAATACAGGTAAACAGATCTAGACTAGACTGATCACAATATCAATAAGTGCTACATAAAACTAAAAACGTCAAAATCCAAATTATTGAAGTAAAATGTGGAATATTTTTTATAATAAATTATCGCTTGTTCAAAACATACTTACTCAAACTTATTTAAAACAAGTATCTAAATTCTTTGATTTTACGAGATCTTTACCCAAACTGCATTCCAACTTAGTAATGTAATTTAATTTGTTTCTTTTAGAAATTGTTTTTTTATTTACGGAATAAAAAATTTAGAAGATTATATTTAATATTCCTCTACATGTACGGAACGGAACACTCTGTATAGTAGAACAACAATAGATTTTAAAAGGCAATCGTCTCAGTAACAAAGAACTTTATATTTTAGTGTGTAGTTTTGAGATATTGAGAGAAAAAATATGCGGGTTCACATGTATGAAAAGAAATAATATACAAAGAAAGTCTGTAAATTTACAATATTTTTGTATCGTTTCCTGGTATTTTATTCTCTTTGACAATCAGCGCTTTATCAACACTCTCAGCTTCTTGTGAAACTTCTTTACACTGTTTAATATGAATTTTAATAAAACGAAGTGTAAACTACTCCTGTGTTCGTGTAGGTTTCAAGGAATTGTTTACACCCAGAACAAGTTTGATTGAAATTGAATATTATTCTGTTCACATATTCACTTATATTATTGTTAGTTTTATTTATTATATACCTAAGAAAAGTTACCTTCTAGCAAAAATATTTAATACCTTAGAATAATATTAAATTTTGCTTCGCTAAGTCCCTCAAATGTCTTCCACACATATTTAGAGTAACAAAATTCCGCCTGCGTGAAGGTGATAAGAGTCGTTATTCTTCGCTACTTCATTTTATACCTTAACGTTTTTTTTATAAAGGTAATAACGTTGACAGTTTTTGGAATTAAACGACCCAGTCAAATGCCTTTCTTATATGTACATATATGTATTTATTTAAACAGAAGATTCTGTGAATGTAGAACGAAAAATTTCTAAAAGATTGAACGAGTTAAAAGGGTCGGTATGAATATTCTATTTTAATCCAAACAACTTTTTTGACGCGTTGGGAGATACATAAAGATAATTTTTGGCTAAATTTAGTTTGTCAAAAATTTTATGTCAGAAACAAAGAGTGAAATTATTAATATCATCGGTCCAAAATGGAATGAAAGATTTGAAATATTAAAAATTATGTAATCATAGTCTAATAAAACGAATATAACTTCGATGATGAATAGAATGTCATAGGTGAAAGAATAGCAATAAAACAATTATACTGGAAGCATATTTTAAAAGAGACATTTTTGGTTACATAATTAATATTTCATAGTAAAAAGTAAATATCTTGTTTCATCCAAAAATCACATGTAAGTGTTAAAAACTACGTGTAATCACTATCTTGCGACCATAGTTGTAGCGTTATCTGCTAAATCCAAGATTTCCTACGTTTTATTAATATATATTTTGTTATAACGAATAAAATAGTAGATACAATCCATCTTTAAATATTACTAACATTTTTTTGAGAATTCAATTTTTACATCTAGAACTTATACTATCACATATTCCCTATTATAATACCAAAATGTTACTATTTTTCTAATAATAAATCAGTTTTATAACACACTACGTACATGAATAATGATCATTATACAATTTCTCTAAAGAAATCATTCATCTGCCTCACACAATCCTAAGAAACGCTTTCTTCCAAACGTTTTTCCTCGAATTTGCAAATTCGCTTACTGTAAGAAATCTACTTTTATTTTAGTTCCTCGTCTGAAAATCTTATTTTAAATGGAATAAAAGTTTTAAAAGTATTGATATAGATATTACAATAGTTAGTAAGTATGCCTTTATATATCAGTAATATCTTATTATTAATAAAATTACCAGAATATACTAATAATATTTTCTGTCATTACATTAGCATTCATAAGTAACGAGGTTTATTAAATAAGATTTATATTCTTCGCCAAAGATAGTAAATTACCTTCCTTAATATAATGGGTGTGTTAGGTATCAGATGTAATCAATCATTTAAAACAGTCTATATTCATTATAAGGAACGGAAATACTTTCATTCTTGATACACGCAGTAAAATATATTACTGCTTTTACCTTGTAAATTGATAAGAAAGTAGAATTAGTTACTTTACGACCTACTTTTATAAGTGATTCTTACTGTTTAATGCATCTCAAAGCAAGATCTATAAAAAATACAATAATTGGTTTAATGAAACGAAAATTATTTGGAAACATTAAATTTATTAAATACAGAAACGTAAATAATTTTAAAATATAACAAACAACGATACAATAATAATATACAGTTAATATAATTTACATAAAGACATTTTATGTCTACGTCGTTATAGGAAACAATAAGAAGCAAATAAAGTTTTTTTTTTATAAAATCTACATCTATCCCTACATAAACATCTATCTACTCTCAATATACTCACGATTAAGTCTAAGCTTTCATTCATTTCGATGTTAAATTCTATTTTATATACTAAGCTGTGGGTATTGTAATTATATTACATTAATAATATACTTATGAAATAAATCGTATTCGCGTATTTCCATATTTGGGCTCAAAAATATGGAAATATACAAGTTTTAAATATAATTAAATTAATTATTCAAGCTAAAATCACATTTCCAGCATCTATATATTTGAGAGCGACTAAATATTTACATTAAGACTATACCTTTATAATATTTACAATACAATAATCTAAATAATTTAAGTTTTTTTTTCATTAATCTAATTACGTAATCAGAATATTATTTACATCAACTATCACCTAACTTTGTATTATATTTAATAACATTTATAATGTTTTAAAATAGACAAAGACAGTAGATATTGCTACAGTTTTAATTTTAATTTTAGCATCATAATTTACTAAATATATGTATATGAAAAACAGACTACAATTCAGTACATAAATAGGTTAAATATAATTTCGTATTCATTTAGTTTAAATGGGATTTTGTAATAATTGTTAAATTTTATGTATACTTCAATATATATCAATAGCCGCACGCGTTATTTTATACAATCGTAGCCTGTTCTGATACGACATGCGTGCGACTACGTAGCGATTCTCAGACGATATCGTGACAGGAGTTCCCGTTGCCAGTTCGTGTGGTCTTGGTAGGCTGCGGTCGTCCGGACATACCCTCTGTATACAAAGGTGGACAGTACATGACCTGGAACAAAATAGTATATTTAATACAGTTCTAAATAGATTGGTCTTGGTTTCAGGTTAAAACTTATAAGCCTTCTATAAGATAAATTTATTCAATAATGAGATCTCATATTTTCGCGAGTATTCATTTAAATGAAACTAATATTTTTCGGATTATACTACGCGTATTTAATTTACTGTAAAAACTACACAATCTTTCAGCAAACAACATCTCGTCTGCCCATGATCACGGTCGCTAAAAAATAACTGAAACGTTGGAAATATGCAGCTTTTACATTAATAAAATAAGCGTAGTATAATCCGAAAAATATTAGTATCACTTAAGTTTATTCAAGTTATAAATCTTTAAATGAAAAATATTTGACAAAACAGATTCAGCTTTTCAATTCACTCCAAACCAACCAACCAAACAAACAAACAGCTCAATGTTAATGACGTAAACATAAGGCTTTGTCGTTTAGTCAATAAATCAGCGTGTCGTTCATTACTGAATGTTTTATTTATTCTCGTTCTGTTTTAATTAATTACGAGTAAGATTAAAGATCTAACTCCTATACTTTATCCCGTGTAATGAATATACAATAGAAATAAAAATATTATAATATTAGCATTAGGTAAATCTAAATCTGATGACTTTTAAATTGCTTTACTCAAAAGTTATAATACATTTTGAAAGCGGCTTCATGGCTATTAATGTGAAATGATTTGTTTGTGTGTAAGCATATTAAAATACCACAATGTAACAAAAGTCTTTTAAAAATATGTGGTAAGTAGGTGAGTAAGCTGAAATGACTCTTTGAACTGTTATTAAATTAATCCTATGATAAATTGCAATTTGTGCATGATAATTTATTTTTGGTTATTCAATTTGTTATGGCTAAATCAAATAGTGTCCCTATATAATGTTGGTTTTATACGTTTTTGATAAGAAATAGAAAATAATTTTTGATAAGAAATAGAACATAATTTTTTAATATATTACAATATATTAGTCAAGATCCATTTGCAGTAATTGTGATGATGGAAAGGCAAGATGTGAGTGTCGATTAATATTTAGTGTATTCAAACTATATTAGGTGTAAAAGTCAAAAAACATTATGAATGACTTCGACTTTTTTGCTTAAGAGTCATGTACTTTAGTAATTAGTTTACAATAAGGTTTAGCAAACTATGTATAAGATAGATTTTTTTTATATAGACTTTAAAAACTAAAAACTAAATTTACTTTAAAAAAACCGAAGCCCTAAAAGTGAGTTATTCTAAATAATCCATTCGCAATATTTCATCTATAGTCCAGTCATTTAAGCTTAAATTAGGTAAGAATCTCGGAATGCGAGATACCCAGCTGTAAGTCTGTAAATAGTTGTATATTGACACCCTAAAAGTTGTCTCAAAACCTACATATGGTAGGGTGTAAGCAACTATTAAATTTCAAGTTCAAAGGTCACAAAAATCGTTTTTTTGCGCTTTTTTTGGAAATATCTCATTTCCTATGGGTTTTTTGCTATTTGTATTTATTATCAATATTGTAGAATACTAAATTATCTACAAATTTCGTTTCAAAATTTTTTTTATACGGTGTACCGTTTTCGAGATAGAGGGCGGAGAGCGCGCGGTCACCGCATCACTTCAGGTCAACCGGTGCCTCCGGTCGAAAACGCGCCATATAAAGTTGATGAACTATCAATAAATCAATGATTATAAATATTTGTCAATTTTTATTAACTATTTTATCATTTTTTTCCTAACTTATCCACTTTTTATTCAGTATTAATTTATTTAACAACACTTACCTGTCCATATAATTGCAGAATTCTCTAATAATAAATAATAATTGCTGCTGCAGCTTCAACAATTCTTAGCCTTTCTGCTTCAGGATCTATTTTTTTTTACTTTCGTACCAAGCTTTTGATAGAATATTAGCTTGTGCATCACGGAAAGAAATGATCGTGAAAGCTCCAACTTTCTTCGTAATTACTATATCGGTTAAGTACTTCTATTGTAGTCTTGTAATGATAGTTTTATCATCTGGCACATACCCTGTCAAGACATCTTTAAGCTCTTTAGTGTGAATTGAGAATCATTATTATTTTCGATGTAATTGAAAATCTCTAACATAGCTTCTGTAACTTGATTATCTTGACGAGGTTTCTCAGGAGGCGATGATGATGATGATTTATTTGAAAAGTTTGTAAAACAAGCAGCATGGTACTTCGCTTCAGCAGCGATCAAATCAAACTATAAAATTATACGATTTTTCACCAATTCTCCAAAATCATCCCTACGTTCTTCTGCTTTTTTGAAAATTGACAAATATTTATAATCATTGATTTATTGATAGTTCATCAACTATATATGGCGCGTTTTCGACCGGAGGCACCGTTTGACCTGAAGTGATGCGGTGACCGCGCGCTCTCCGCCCTCTATCTCGAAAACGGTACACCGTATAAAAAAAATTTTGAAACGAAATTTGTAGATAATTTAGTATTCTACAATATTGATAATAAATACAAATAGCAAAAAACCCATAGGAAATGAGATATTTCCAAAAAAAGCGCAAAAAAACGATTTTTGTGACCTTTGAACTTGAAAATTAATAGTTGCTTACACCCTACCATATATAGGTTTTGAGACAACTTTTAGGGTGTCAATATACAACTATTTACAGACTTACAGCTGGGTATCTCGCATTCCGAGGTGAACTTACTATAATGACTGGACTACTAATGGACTTTTAACTTTGAAGTTAAAAATAATACCTCATAAATAACATTCCATTGTTCTAGTTTATTTTTTAAAACTCTGCTAATATTAACATTGTATACAAATACACTTCAAAGAAAGGCAGCCTGTAATTATATTTAGAGAAGTGCTGTCGAAAATTGTTCATTGTGCTGATTTTTAAAAATGTTTTACGCAATTTCTTTAACTATCAATTACACTAGACCGCGCGAGTGGTTTTAATATTATTTTTAAAACTTTTGTTGTACTTTTATTAATAGTAGTTATTAGTATAACATCAATAAATCCTTCAAGTAAAATCATAATCAAAATATTTTCATCCATTATAGAGATATATAAAGAAAAACATTTTGAAAATTGTATATAAGAGCAGAGCTCACACTCCTTTGTTATAAACTGTCAGGTCCGAGTATATTCAAATTAATTTACGTGTACGATATGAAATAAGCTTCAAAAGATTTTCTTCAAAATAGCGGAATAAATGTAAGAATGATTTATTATGACGTTGTTAGGTTGAGAGCGTTATTAATTGTGTAGTATCTTTGCTTTGTGTATTAGGAACGTGTGTTGGGAGACTGAGCGAGCGATCCTGGTCTTTCATTTTCAAAGTCTAGTATTTCATGTGAGCAGGATTAAAGAGCACACGGCCCTGACTGATGGTGTAAAGCCCAAACAAAGATAATGGATTGCTCTCAAAATATAAAATATATGAGAACAAAATAAATAAAGAATAGTTATGTGTATGATACGTTTAAAATGGTATAACATGTATGAATTATTATTTATCAGTGAAAGAGATTTTATTCTTTGAAATGACTACTGAATTAGTTAACTAAATAAAATAGAATTTATTTAATGGTTTTATTAAATTATTTATATACATATTATCGAGAATAATACTCATAGTAAGTAAAAGGCATTAAACTGTGAACCTACTATTAATAAAATAATGATAACCTTAAACTTTAATAATAAATAGAAATTTAGTTTTATATAATCTTATATAATTCTGCTTACCTTCCTGAATGCGACTCTGAAATTCTCGGACAGAAACGCGTATAGTACAGGATTGACGCAACTGTTCATGTAGGCTACAACGTGGGAGACGATCTGAGCTGTCACCGTGAAGTATGTTATGTTGTATTTGTCTAACGCTTTCATCAAAAGTATTATCTGAAACAGAAATCCTCATTAAAAATAACAAAATGGAATAGTTGTCGCAGTGCAGTGTTAATCATAAAGTTTTTTTAAACCAAATAACTCAATCTATCTATCTCAAAAATGAATAAGGAATATCCAGTTTGATATATGAAACAATCATACTTTAGTTTATTTTTGATCAATCAAACAAAACCTACCAAAATATTCGTAACATGAAATATTATTTCTATGGATACATCTCTTTTTTGTTGATTAATACTTTAAGCGAAATGTGTTTCCATTAAGGTATTGAGGATATATTATGTTCTTTTTATTAAAATGATAATCTTTAAAATAAAACCAGTGAAATGAGAATAAAACAATAATGTACTGCACAAAACTGAAACGATTTGAGCTAAAACGCCCTTGTTCTAGTCGCTTTACCAATTTAGCAAACGTGTTCCTACTCGAGTGGGGAATTAAGATTTGAGTGTCATTTTGCGGCGAAGACGTCATTTAGTTATATGAAAAAATGTGATAAGGTAAAGATTTTGGGTAAGAATAAGAATTTAAAAAACCAAGTAAAATGCTGAAAAGCATCAATTATTTAAATATATTTGGAGGGTTCAATTATACACCATTTTATTACACTTTTAACAATCTTCGCGAAAGCGCTTAATTCAATAATTGGTATTAAAATTGTTATTGGTTCTCAAAATGCTAAAGAAAGTTAATCAAAATTTTATTTGAATTGTGAGGGCTGTTTGCCATTTAGCTAGGGCAAGACGCGTGCCATTTATCTCAGATTTCATTAAAATGTTCAACTCAAAGTTATCATTTAATTTATACGTTTTATGATTTCAATAAGAAATTTAATTAAACCTCATTTATCAATCAAAAGCATGTTCAAGACCGATTTAATTCGTTATAAAATTACTATTATTACATTTATTGTATAACCGCTAACCGTTAAATAATGGGAAGAAAATTTTATATTTACCTGTATTGGGCACCAGCAGACAGCGAATACTACAACGACTACTACAACCATTCTTGTTACTTTCTTCCTGCCTCTTCTACTCTCAGCGGAGACTCGTCCTCCAGGAGCACTCTTCCATAGCCTGGACAGCATGCAGATATAGAGCACGCTAATAAGTGTTAATGGTATTACGTACGAAGATAAAAAGAAGGACATCTGAAAGCCCAACTTGCTATAACCCTGTTCTTCGAGAAACACGCATGATGAGTGATTTCTATGAAAATATGAATATTCTCTTTCACCATGACATATTCCAACTGGTATTGCCGTAGTGAGTATCACAACCCATATGCAACTTATTGCTAATAAAGCATTCTTCTCTGTTCTTATAGACATTGATGCTATTGGATGAACAACTGCCATAAATCTGTCTAAAGACATAAGTACCAGCGTATACACCGATGCATGAGCAGTAACTACAATGAAATATTGGACTACTTTACACCACCAATCTCCGAAAGGCCATCTGGGCATAACATAATCCGTAGCGGTAAACGGAACACAAAATATAACGAAGAGTAAGTCAGCTGCAGCCAAGTTGATGATTAATAGGTTTGTGGTTGATCTCATTCCAGGGTTTGCAGCAACAACAACTACCACCAAGGCATTTCCAACTAATCCTACGATTCCAATGAAACCAAAGAAAATTGGAACAACTTTGGACACGATATTTTCAAGCATTTCCCCATTTTCGAATTCCGTTGTATAGTTACATCCTCCAAGACTAGCAATTTTTTCACTTGTAAGGTTAAGACATATGCTATAAAACTCATCTTCGGTGGACTCCATTTTTAAGATATTATCGTTCCATTTTTATCTAAATGTTCTTCTAAGTAAACGATGATTTTTCGCTTGATTTACCTGTAACAAATTTGATTGTTAATTTAAACAGATTTTAATTAAAATTAAGAAACTTTTCCGGGAAAGATGTGAGATTATTATACTTGTTCTTACTTAATTATATTTGATTGCATTTTTCGCTTTATTTTACTTTTTTTCAGTATTTTAATTTATTCTTCTGTGTAGTTTAAATAAAATTAATTTTGAGTGATGAACAGTAAATATAAAAAAATATTATGACGGTGATCTTCTTCTACCTGGCGAGTTCCCAGCTTTAGCCAGGGTCTGCCTTACATGTTGTGAATAGTTTTGGCTAATTGTTTTTACGACCGGCCGCCTGCCTAACATCAAACCTCTTTGGGAATGCATTAATCAGTGGTGTCTAAATACTCTCAGAAAGTATATATGACTCGGAAAAATCATATTGGTACTTGCCAGGGCCAGGATCGAACCCGCGCTGTCGTGCGTGAGAAGCGGGCCTTTTAACCACTAGGCTACCGCTGACATGACGGTGATATGAAAATATATTAAAATTATTTAAGTACAATCATTAGCAGAAATAAAATAAGTACAGCTTTGAATAAGATATTTCACATTTCTTTAACATTGCTTCATATTGAACCTAAATCATGTAACAGTTAGAAGGTTTTAGTGTGCTGAAAACGAAATGTCAAATATTACATTTTATTTTAAAGTCTGAAGAATCAAGTATTTCTTGCGAGTTTTAATATACAAATTATTGTTTAATTTATCATTGAAAATTAATTTTCTTACTAATAAATATTGTTGATATAATAAATAATGGAATAAAACGACGTTCATCGAACGTTCATTTATTTAATTCAATCAGTGGTAAATAAAAAAAAATCAGGACTGTAGAAAAACGTAGTATATAAAATTTCATCATTGATTTTATTTAGTTATATTTATCGAAATTGGAAAAGAATAAGCACTTTATCTGTTTAAACGATTTCTTCTAATGTAATACTTATTTTTAAGTAGTTCAACCATCATTTGAAATCCTCCACCAAGCGATGGCTTAACTATTATTAGTCTATTTAAAATTTCTTATCATAAATTGTTTAAGTATGACCTGTTTTTGATATTTACTTTATACAGTCCAATGAAACTGGTAACAATATTTGAATAACTCTCTTTTTTAACCTCAAACAAAGTTGTTTATAAATTTAATTTTACATCCATATATTTTTTTAATTTTGTGTGTGTATGAGTGTTTTTTTCTTATTGGACTCCTATTAATTAAAAATCTTAATTAAAATAGGACTACATAACAAGACCGTATTTTAAAAAGTTTCCCATAGCTGTTTTCTATGGAGATAACCCAGAAAAAAAAACATGGGATGACTGGGAAAACTGGAGCTTGTTTAGATTGCAATTTTCCTTTGCCTTCAGAATATTATTTGTAATACCGTGCTTATTTAGCATTTGGTGGTTGTTGGGGGACCAATTTCTTCTGTTTATTGCGATCTCGGCAGGTCTTTAAGAGCGGTATATGAGAGTGATTTTCGATTCATCGCTATGAGGTTCGGGTCTTGGTACCTAAGAGACATACGTATGGTTTTAGAGATTCTTTAGTATCAAGAGAATCAATGCCCTAGAGGTGACTACAATTCCAATTTGTGTAGTCACTAGTCAGGCTGGTAAGATGACTAAGCAGCCAAGTAGATAACCAAGTAGCTAGACTAAACCTCTTGTCACCGGTTTCTTTTCGATAGGTTTCTTTATTTGCGCGATAAACGCTAGGAGGTTGAGTTTCATCAGCTTAAATTTTTCCTTAATAATAATAAAAAAGAAGTAAGGTGTCAGGTTACAAGAAATGTAAATCAAGCATGAACTAACCTATTAAATCATTAAAATAATTTCAATATACTTTTGTCAATCACCATTTAATCAAGTATATTATTAGAACAAGAAAATTTTCTTAGTAAATATTCATTGACGCAATACGAGTGAAGCCATGATGCAAATTAAGTTTGATTGCATACGTCAGAGGCGCCCACGGGTGGCTGACTAGTCTCAACATTTGATCTCCTTTGATTAAATTATTATAAATTAAAAGAAAGACCAGCACTTTAAAGGCTTCATCACATCAAAATATCTTTATCAATAATACATTATAATGCGATAATTATCGTTGATAGTCTAATGAAATTTTTGTACCGATATTAGTGGCTACCATTATGTATTCTAATGATCAGATAATAGACACCAGTGGTTAAGGAAACAAATTAGAATTACATATAATAAATAATGCAAACAAAACTACACCACAACTTTTAATTTAGCAATAGGTAAGATATAATGAAATATGTATAACAGCTATTTATTTAATTTTTTATCATACTATGTATATTAGCATTCAACACTTAATTTATTAGAATTCAGAATGTGAGTATAAGCGAATTAGTTTTATATATAAATATATCTGTAACAAAAAATTATTGGCCGTCCGTGAATTTTATTGCAGAGTGGGCTCTCTCATTCAATGAAAGCTTTAAAACATTTTCATTATTTAATTCCTAGTTTTATGATTTCAGTTAAAATTTTATAAAATTCTATGTAATCTATTTTTAACTCGAATAAAAACTAAAAGCTTTTATTGAATCCGATTCACTTGTGTAATAATTTCAGTTATATAACTCAACAAGTTTTTATGTAAATTATGTACGAATATTAATATCTTTAATTTTTTATCGATAGAGTAATAATTGAATATGTTTTTTGATTACATTCAACACATATCTTTGTAAGTAATGGATAACTTTGAGTTTTATTGAGCTATGTGCTTTCCTACTATTTAATAAATTATATAGACTATAATCAGGCACTTGAACAAATCGTATGCGCGATCAGATTTCACTTAGTATAGTCGAGTAATTGTGTAATTTATTTGAGCTGAATCTGATTCAGGCTTTCTAGCCAAGCCTGGCAGATTCTTATAAGTAAGATTCTATTCTACAGAACAAAATGAATATATTCTTATATACATATGTATATATCAAACACATCCCACAATCGTGTCTTTGTATTCCTTCCTAGTGTGTAAAACGATGGTCACGTATTGTCTTTGATTGGAGACGACAAAGTCTTTTATATATTTTACACTCCTGTAAAACCCTATTCTTTTTAATATATAATAACAGTCAATACTTTATAAAATTAATTTTATGTCAAACAAAATCAAAAACGTTTCCATTTGTAAATTTTAATAACTACTGCTAACAATTCGCTTTGCCGAACTCTATTTCCTGATGTAACCAGAGACTATTAACGGATACTATTTACGGTTTGATAGTTTCAACAAATTAAACCGGTTTGAAATTGATCGAAAATTGTTACTATTATCAACATTTTGTAATATTGCTAAGTTTACATCGTTATTACTACTTCCAGTTAATTCTCTCTGGGGTGAATAAATATAGAGGGAATAAATTACGTCCAAATTTAACTTGTTGAATTATTTTATGTATATGAAAACGATTATAAAATAAGCAACATTTTATTAAACAGCATCATATTTTGAATTTATGTACGTAGGTGGGAAATATTTTAATGCAATATTGAATTGTGAAAATAGTTCTTGGCAAATATCTATACAAATAAATAAAATTGTGTTGTCTGTATTTAATATTGAAATAACCGTTTTTTACAATTAGTCAAAAAGAATTTCTGCTTAAAAAACTCTGCCAGCGAAGAGGCTAGCTTTGAACTGATTAATAACTATCACTAAACAGTTAAAATAAATTCACTGTTAGCATAGTTTTTGTTATTAATATAATATTTCATTCATATTTTACGCTTCCTGATTGTATTTTTAGAAACAATAATAATTTAAATCTTGAACTTGCGTGTGTACTACCAATCTCAATGGGACTGGCTAGACAATGTGCTCGACCAAACGTTCCATCTGCAGTGGACCACTTTAATACGAGTATGTTTCATTGAGCTCTATTGCACCTGGCCTGGCCTGGTTTGACTAGTAGATTTGTTCCTCATATAACTTGACCTCGTTTTATTGTGACCACCTAGACTTCCTTAATCAATACTTCAACTATAGACTGTTTAAATTAATAATGTCATGGCTTCGGAGATATTAGTATGGTCACCAACAATAAAAAAGGTGGTATGGTTTTTTGGAACCATAATTCAAGTGAAATTTTTTTTTTTTTTGGGAATAACAAGGTATTTTTAATCAATACTCAACTGTTATGCAAGGCAGACCCTAGCTATAGCTGGGACAATTGCCAGTTAGAAGAATAAGACTTAATTGTTAAAAAATTATTATAAAAATAAAGCAACTATTTTCTTCTCGACTGTTTTATTGAGAATTTCATTATGGCCTTTTAGTAACACAAATATTAGATATATTCATTACAATTAAATTATTTTAAGTAAAAAAAGGCTTCAAAAACACAACATGGGAACTAATAATCATAAAATATTTAGTCTATCTAGTAATAAATTCTAAATGTGTCCACAAAAAACGAGTAAATACCTAATTTAGATATTGACAAAAATTTCTTTTACTTTCTCATAATTTAATTTAATATCTTACTAAATATATACAAATTTTTAACACCTCTGAGGTCGTTGGTCGTCGTTCTATATGTGAAGTTACAAAAATTCATATAATATCATAAAAGAATACTAAATTAGTGCTACCTAAAAGTAACCTTACCCTAAATTAACTTACACTTACAACTCTATAAATTTAATTAATAGTAAGTAATCAATATGAAACCAAAACTAAATTTCTTTAATTGTTATCAGAAGTTAGAACATAAGATATGGGATCGAATTCCTTAGTGAAATAATGATATCGCATATCAGAAGTATACCAAATTGAAATGGGATCAAACGAGAAGCAACCGCTTTCAAACAAAGTTATTAGATAGTATGAATATTTCAATTTAGTTTAATATGATTTG